ATCAAAGGCAGAAAAGTGATTGGATGGATTTCAGGTTCAAAAACTTGGCACATTAGTGAATTGGATTATCAAGTAAATACATAAGCAAGAATAAAGGCTCTTGCACACTTTATTTCAAGCTGGTTATTTCACTAATTTTTTCCATTCACTTGAGGAATCTCCTACCTGGCTGTTTTCCAGCTAGGCGTCCTCTCTTACAGAGTTGTCTTTCTGTGCTGGGCTTCATACCCCAACTTGCACACCCCAACTTTGAGAGTTGGTCGGTTTATTCAAATGGATAAACCACATGATCTCCAAACTCTTGGGCAGTGTTCTGAGTTAAAGATACCTGTTAAGGGTTGGAGAGGTGGCTTAGCAGTTAAGAATGAATACTGTTCTTTCAGAGGACCTGAGTTTGGTTCCCAGCACCAACATCAAGTGGCTCACAGCCACCAGTCATTCCAGAGGATCAGACTCTCTCTTTTTACTTCTGCAGACATTCATTTGCACATATTCCCCCGAATAATTAAAAATAAAATAAATCTTTCTTTAAAAAATACCTGTTTGGATGGGTGTGGTGGTGTATACCTTTAATCCCAGCACTTGGGAGGCAGAGGCAGGTGGATCTCTGCCTCAAGAGATCAAGGCCAGCCTGGTCTACCTAACGAGTTCTAGGCCAGTTGTGGCTACAGGGAGACCGTATCTCAGAAAGACCAAAACCAACAACAACAACAACAACAAAAAGCCCTGTTTGGCAGATTAACTGTCACAGGCTTAAATCTTTTTGTTTGGAAGTGGGTGAAAGAAAATGTATTAAACAACACTGTTAAAATTGTTTTCTATCCAACCCAGATGCTGGCAGAAAATCATTTAGACCATTAAAATCCTGACCCAAATAGAAAAGATGATATATTTAATAGGAAAGGGACTTTTTGTTTTGCTCTGTGCATCCAGAATCTAGCACACATGTAGCATCTGCGAGACATTCAAGTATCTGTCGAATGAATGGACCCCTATTTATCGAACTCTGCATATTCAGGTATAAAGAACTAGAGACAAAATTTTAAGGCATGTAGATGTTTTATTAATAATAATACAAGTTAAAAGTTTCTATTTTGTGTGACTTTTGTTACTAAAACAATATCCACAGTTCATTTGTGATTTATCTGTCACCATTGTACATACATAATAAAATGTTAACTGTTGATCAAAATGAAAGCAGACAGGCAATTTGATAATTGTCCTTTGACAGGCCCTGAGTTTATAAAGATAGCTGCATGCTGAACATCCGGTCTATGGCGTGGACTAGAACATTTTTCTCTAAAATTATGCTTTTCAAAATCTGGTGCCGTGTAACTGACTGGGGTAAATCTTCCTGTAAGTGACTTGACTGCTAAACAGAAGTATTTTGAAGAGCCAGGATAACAGATTTTTATTGTTCAGGTTTTTGACTAATTTTGGTCAAAATGTAAACTGTTAGATGGTAGACAATTATTTTTTTCAAAATCCGTAATCATATCTGCCAATTTTCTGTGACTAATGATCCCCTGCCAGATGTTTCTTTGGTTTTGCTGAGTCATCCCCTCCCCCAACTCTGTGTTCCCACCAACTCTGAATTCCCTCTGGCTTTTCTTATACTTGGCCTTTTACCTGCATTGGTGAATTTGCTGGTGAAATTGCTGTTTTTACCATCTCACATGTATATAATGGGCTTTAAGAAAATTACTCTCAATTTTACCCAGTGTCATAAATCTTAACCTATCCCTTTCCTGGGGAGACAGACATTTTGAGGAATTTATGCTAAACAGCCATTAAGCCTTAACACATCAGTGGAGCTGTCAACAGTCTTATAGCTCATGACTAAGCAGATTCTGAATCACCCTCCAAAGCAATCTGTTAGAAAATGAAACCAGCTCCCAAACTTCTGCATTTTCAATCTGCTGTGAAACGACCACTCTTCCACTAGAACTCCTGTAAGAAAATCCTCAACCACTGTCTGATACGTGGGGCTGGCTGTGGAGTGGAGCCTTTTATTATTATATTTATGTGTATTAGTGTTTTCCCTGCCTATATGTAAGGGTACCTGTGTGTGCAGTGTCCATGGAGGCCTGAAGAGGGCGTTGGATCCCCTGGAACTGGAGTTAAGGATGGACAGTTCTCTTAACTGCTGAGCCAGTTCTCCAGCCCCAGAGTGTTACCTTTTGACTCAAGATAGATTAGCATTTCTTTACCAATCTGATCATCATTGAACACTCACTACCTGGCCCCTACACAAAAAAATTTTAGTGACGGATTTCATTCCTTGACTGTGAAAATGTTTGGCTGCATGCATGGTTTCATACAATCTTCACTGATTCAAAATGTATCAAGCACCTGCTAGATGCTGGTAATTTTGCTAAGGACTAAGAGATATGAGGTTTTGAAAAACCTAATCCTTCCCTCCCCGCCCCCAAGGAGCTGGAATGGGGAAGGTTGACATGGAAATTATGTAGAGCTTGATGAAACTGAATTGGTAAAACTGGTAACATGTACTATAAACGTGCACCGGAAGGACTGAAAGAGTGCCGCAGTCTTTTGCAGACTCCTCATCAACCACATTTCACCACTGGTTATGCAAAAGGAACTTACCACTTCTACGTGTCTTCCTGCATGCCTACTTCAAGGAATAGCCAACAGGCTATTTCTGCCTAAGGATAGTGAGTTCCCCAAATTGCAAGTGTTTTCCACACCTACTACAGAGCATGGTTGAGTGCCTACGGAGGAATAAATTCATCATTCTGGTAGCAGGTTTGTGATGCAATCTTCCTTTTATGTGTTAGAAACAGAAGCAAGGCCACAGAAGGAAAGCCCCTGGAGTCAGGACCAGATCTACATTGCTCAGTCAGTCCAGTGGGTCTACACAGGCCAGCTGGCTTCAGGATCACATGGGAACATGACGTTTGAGAGATGCTCTCCTATCTGTCCATTCTTAGTTCTAATCAGAAAGCCTAATCAAGGCAGGTATGATTTTCACAATAGTTTAGTAGCTTTTACACTTGTCAGAGCCTATAAGGTATCTAAGCTTGACTTTACTGAAGGAAGTAAAAAATTGTGTAAAGGAAGGACTAAGTTGAACAGTTAATTTGTCCCTTCCCAGTAAACTCCAACAGTGAAATTTTAGGAATGTGGTTTTCATGGTGTCAAAAAATAGTTTTCTAGAAATCATTTGACCACAATCTGATCAGGTGGGGAAAATATTTGCTATGAAAGATTATTTACCTCAGCCAGTGTTCTTCCTCCTCTTCTTGAAAATAATAACAATTATAGTATTTTTCAGTGTTGAAGACCATCATTCCATAGTTGATCAAAAACCTATGCAAACAATTTAGATATTTCTCTTCCTTGCCTGACGGTCATAGTGAATATTCAAAATAATATGTATCTAATCTATTAATGTACTATTTGTGTGACATAGTTTTCTTAGCAAATGGATACTCTTGACATTGTTTAAAGTGTTCCCCCTGTGATTTCCCAACAGGGAATCCAACAGAATTACTTGGTAGAGGCAGAGGCTTTCCTGAGTCTTGGAATTTGCCCTTGATTGAGGTGCAATCAATTCCTCTTTCATACCCTTCAACTCCAGAAAGCCCCAGGTAGGGCTGATGAATGGCAAAATTACTCAGGCTAGAGACTACTAAAAGGAAGATTGCAGGCTTAGTACTGTAAATATAAACTTTGTGGGGTTTAGAACTGGAAGGGATTGAAGAGGAAAAGAGTAAGCACAGCTTTCTTCTTATAGAAAAGACCACAAGCACTCAGCCTGGAGGTGGCTGCCTCAGCTCAGGCAAAGGGAGAAAATCAAAATTTGCAGTCCATTTTGTTGAAAATGATTTTTATAATGTGGTGGTGCAGTCAGCTCTGCAGAAATGTGTGTGCAGCGTGTACTGTGATGCAAAGCTGATTTCACATACTCCTCTCCTTAAGAGCCGTCCAGTCCTGTCTTCAGGACAACTGCAGATTAAAACAAACAAGCAAAAACACGAATGTCTGAAAGCCTTTGACAAGAACTTGGGCAAATGCTACTGGGTAGGAGAAGTGGCACCCAGAGGCTTGAACAACTTCATAGCAAAGCCAAGAGAGGGAAACTAGAAAACAAGTCAGAAAACAGAAGCCTGTGACCCGCACCTGGCTGCAAAGTGTAGCCAAAAGAAGGAGGCGCGCTTAGTGTGCGTGGACCCCTGGGCCCACTTCCCAGTTTCGAGAGAGAAAAACGAACAAACAGAGCTGAAAAGTCCGAATGTATTTATTTTTCAGTTTCATTTTATGTTTCTCTGCTCTTCGGAGGAATAATTCAAACCCACAGCCGTCTTCCTCAACGCTGAGAACCACCCTTTCTGAAGCCACAAGGCTGCCCAAGTCACTCTAGAATTCTCCCAGAGGCAACACTCCAGGCTTCAGGCTGCAGTTTCTGGGTCACTGTTTGGGGATGGGGACCCGGGCGTGCCAAGTGGCCTTTAGACCTTAAGCTAGGGCACTTGTCCACGGCAGACGAGTCCATTTAACGCACCGCCCTATTCAACACGCCCAAGGGGCTGGAAGCACTTTGGAACTGTCCTAGGCTATCCCAGGGGGCCCAGAGCCCCTAGGCTATCCCAGGGGGCCCAGAGCCCCTGCTTTCTACTAAACTGTTATGTCATCGGCCACAGGCCCCGTCTACACCGACAGCACGTGGAAGGTAAGGATCTCTTGTCTTCCGACTCCACAGTTCTTGCCATCGCGACTCCTTGTCCCTAGGCCTGCGGCCACCCAGGCTGACCTTCGAGGTGCGAGACCCGGGGTCCCCGCAGCACCTGGACCCGCCTGCACCCAAGGGCAGCTCAGCATTGGGCCGCGCGGTTGAATCACGCGTGAGTCACCCCTTTTCGGGGTCCCGGAGTTTCCTAGGGGGAGGAGGCGGGGCAGGGGTGTGGACTGGCTGGGGGCCGCCCACCGAGGCGGGAGTGACCGGGCCAGGGGCGGGGAGTCCGGGCCCGCGGCGGAGGCGGCGGGTGAAGAGGCTCCGGCGGCCGCGCTGTGCTTTATAACGCACCCTGCGCAGACCCCGGCAGCCTCGGTGTTGCCCGCACCCGCTTCCCGCCTCCTCGGATCGCGCCGGCAGCGCAGCCTCGCGAAGCCTCGGACCTCACCGCCCGCGTCTGGACATGGCGATCCCCGCCGGCCGCTGGCGCCCGCGCACCTCTCTGGCGCCCACGCTCCTACTCGGAGGCCTCCTCGCCCGGGTGGTCGCTGCTGCAGGTGAGTGGGACGAGCCTGTGAGTCGGAGGGCACCGCTCTGGCTGGCCCTGCATCCCCGAGGACCCCATGCGAGGGACTCGGCGGTGCGCTCCCGGTGGGTTTGAAGGAACGCGGCGTGGAGAGGTATTTTGCACTCAGAACCCGGCTGCCACCGCTGCTGGAGGTACCTAATCGTTGCTGTCCACTGTGGTTGCATAAGATGATCTGGGGCTCCGGCTTGATCTTTGCGGGAAAGAGCTTCCCAGGAAGTTGCGACCTTGAAGGCGGTGGGCCGGCCCAGTTCGAGGAGCATTGAGTGGTTTGGATTACCTTTCAGTGTGTGAGCATCTTCCCGTGATAAATAGCTAATCTTGTGGTCTTTGGTTTAGATTTGATAGAAGCAATCCTGTTGTAAACGTTTCTTGGGTTGGATCAAGCAAGACAACGAGCGTGCCACACCTGTTTAGTGTTTGGGGCTAGGCAGAAACAGACCTGAGGACTTGCCAAAAGAGGCATTAATATAGAGCATTTAAATAGAATGACATCTAACCGTGCGACGGGTGCCACATGGGCTGCGTGTCTACCTTACTCTCAGTGGGAGTTTCAGTGTAGAAACATTTTAGATAAAAATGGAAGAGGTCAAGTCGGGCGCTTTTCGTTTGTATGCATTCCTGACTCCTCACACGTGTGGGATGAGTCCTTTTCTAACTCATTAAAAACCGGTCCATGCGGCCTCTCCCTTGAGCCTGCCTGTGTTGCCTGTGCCAGCTGTGCCTGAGACACCCTGGCGCAGGAGTGAATGGATGGCCCTTCTTTCGTGTCAAGTTGTTAGAGAGCCCTCTTACTCCCCCAAAATAGTTTTAAAGAAGGATTTCAGGATCCTTGCCTGTTTTCATGAATTATGAGGTTGACCTTGCCAGAAGGACAACTTCCCCCAGAAGAAAAACTTCCCCCTGTTCTTGATAAGTCAGTAGCAAAATTTTTATGATTGGAAATAAAAATGTACACCATATAAGTGGTGATGGCTGGGAGGATGCTTTATGCTGTTAGTTCAAGGTTGTGGACCAAGAAGTGTTTGTCCTAACCGGCACTTTCTGTGTTCTAGAAACTCCAGAGAGAGCATATAATTTAACCTGGAAATCAACTAATTTCAAGACGATTTTGGAGTGGGAACCCAAACCCACCAATTATGCCTACAAGGTTCTTATAAGGTAAGTTAGGTTCGTATGTGTGTGTGTGTTAAGGTTATTAAAGTTTTCGCTGTTCGTGCTCTCCAGTAGTGAATACGGATTTCTTTAAAGCTACTTATGGAATGAGAAATTTAATAAATGCTAAAGAGTATTTTCATGGCAAGTTGCTGGGCGGTGTCCCGTTCTATCGAGGCCATTTCTGAACTGATATGTTGGGAGCTACGGATATAGCAGTTCTCAGTTCAGTTCATACAGTGCTTGCTAGCATGGCTGAAGCCCCGGGTTACATTTCCAGCACCGCATAACCTGGACATGAGGGTATTGGGGAGGTGGAGGCAGGAAGTTTAGAAATTCAGGCCCATTCTTGGCCACGTATAGTAAGTTCCAGGCCAGCCCATAATATAGGGGACCTGGTATCAAAATAAACAAACCAACCAAACAAAAATAAATGGATATAACATGTTATTTTGGGAAATGATGGGAATATTCATAAGTGGCATAGAGGCTATAGAAGTTGAACGCTCTTCAACAGGCACAAAAAGAGTGTGCTGGGATCAACGGTGGGTAATCTATAAGCACAGGTGTCCTTTCTTGGTTGCTGTCTAGACT